GCACTGTGGCAGTGCGCCACCGGGCCAGCCCCTCTAGAAAGATTTTCAAATGTACTTTCAGTGTTTGTTAAATATCCAAAGAGACAGATACAAATTAACAGACTAATTTTCAAATAGATGCTTTATTTTTATAATATCGCTTATCCTGACCATGAACCATTAATTAAAACAGCATGCTTTTTGTAACTTCTCTTAGATTTTTCAACCTACTGAAAGCTGTTAGCATATTTACTTAATAAGATGTTATGAAAATCTATGACATAAATACACTTCTTTTGCATTAAAACATTTGTAACTGGACCAGAAGAAAAAAAAGTAATACTGTCAAAGGCAAAGCTCTACTATTTAACAGGATGATTTAGAAAAGTCTGATAATTCAAGAAAAGTCAAAAATTTTTCCCCGATTAAATGTTTTAAAAACTGTAGCAAACAGGTTAGCATTGTTAGCAAGAAAATCGTTTTTCTAAGATTCTTACTATCAAAATTAGTGTTTACAATTCAGTTTGAGGTAATTTTAAAGAAGTTTTGATTTCATTCCTGAAGATAAAAGATTATTTTTAGCACTACTTATGCCAATAACTTATAATAGGGAATGGCTGAATCCAAATCTTATTTTACTTTTTATTCCTTTCAATATTATATGAGTGGTAAATATATTCACAAATATTTAAATATACAAACATTTTTGCTACATATTAGTATGTAGAAAGCTTTTATTATATGCCTTTTCTTTTAAAAAAGACATGCTTTGGTCACAGTATAAGGAGTGTATTTACATTAAACTAATAAAATGTACAAAATATCAGATATGAGCCAAAACTGTTATGTTCACTGAACCAACTGAACAATAGTTCTTGCCTTCAAATGATCTTTTACTTCATTTCATTACCAAAAACTGGAAGAAAACTGAGGTGAAAAAACAGTGGTTCAACTGCTATATTAATTCAACCAAATCCATTAATATACCTTTTTATTTGCTAATCTTGGATATAATTCAGTAACTCTAAAACCATGGGTTATTGAGAAATAAATGAGCTTCACAGTTGGAAAGGGAAATAGTATAATTCAACCAAATCCATTAATATACCTTTTTATTTGCTAATCTTGGATATAATTCAGCAACTCTAAAACCATGGGTTATTGAGAAATAAATGAGCTTCACAGTTGGAAAGGGAAATAGTAAAGATTAGGGGGAAAAGCAAGAAAGGGAGATAAAAGGGAATCTACATCAGCAAAGACATAACTGAAGTTGATTTTTTTTCAGATGTTTCTATTGCACCCCACCGTTTTGGGATTCCTTGTGTTTCCTGACAAACATCTCTATTTTATGACTCTGACCCCTAGGCTCCTGTTGAAAACAGACACCACTGGTGCAAGCATTCAGATCCAGCTCCCCGGGCAGATGGCATGTGGTGTGGTGGGAAGAGGCCCATGGTGCCAGTTCACTTCAGGGTAGATTCCGTGGGGACTGCTCCAGCCTGAATTTATATCAGTATGGTCACTCTGTGTCCTCAGGCTCCTTCAAGATTTAGATCAGTGCCAGAACTCCCAAATCACACAGGATTTCTCCCATTTCATAATGCCAAGTAGGTAGATTGCGAACAGCAACTCACAAGGGGAGAAGAAGCCTGACCATAGCACTGACTGTGAGGAGGGTCATGGTGGCTCACTCAAGGCCCCTGACAGGCCTGAACATGCCAGGGTGGCTGCAGCTGAACCCACTCACCTAGCACAGGACCTGAAAGAGAGTGGAGTGGATATGTAGTGGCCAGGGAGGAGGGTGATAAACCCTGCCACCCAGTGACACCCAGTCTCCTGCTCTGGGCTGGAGGATCCCAGTGCCTTCCACGATTTGCAAACATAGTAAAATATTGAATAACCCTCTAGGAAGGTGGCCAAGCCCTATCATATGGAGCAACCATTTCTAATACTCCAAACAAGTTTTCAAAGAGGGAAAAATAACTAGTTACAGAAGTTACTGCATTGTCATATTACTGCAAGTCTTTTCACACATATTCAGCAAAACCAAATAAATGACCTTACACCTTTGAACTGAAATGGCTTCTTAGACCAACTATAAGCACAGACTGGTTTTCACAAAAATGGAATACTGGTATATCACAAACACAGACTTAATTTTTTTTAACTAGGAAGACTAGCAATATCAGCTTTTCAGTTTGTAATTGATACACTACAGAACATGTGCATTCTTTGAATACATACACAATTGTCTGCTTTCATGTTTTTCTTTTTTCTAATAGCTTCTCTTGCACTATATAGTAGTGAGTCTCTGTCATTCTGAATAGGTAAGCTGTGTGTTTTATATAAGACTGATTATTTCATTCCACATTTATTCAGACAGATAAATCTGAACATCCAATTAGGGGTTCACATGTAGATTTTCACAATGTTTGTTATGTCTGATGTAATAAATATAGAATTATTTCAAAGTATTTAAAAACAATAGCCACCACCTATACCAGCCTCCTACAAGGGAGAGCCTAAGGCTGTGAGTCCGCTGGAGTGTTGCCATGACTTGCTTTTTCTCCAGAGACAGAATGCTTCAGAAACTGACCAGTAGCACCAATGTATAATCTTGATCGCATGGGCCATTTCTGAAAAAGAATATTTAAACAAGAATCCAAAAGTTATTATTTATGACATACACAATATAGTCTGTGATGTTAAATATTCCAAATACCCCAATGCAAAGCAATATTATGAGGCTAGGAACAATTATAATTATTAAGTACAAGGAATGACATGAAAAAGTTTATTAATGCTTACAATAGAAGTAAAAATATACCCAGACTTTGATTCTAACCGTAGAAATAGTATGTGTGCATATGGACAAGAACTTCAAGAAGTCACAGAGAATGAATATAGTTGAAGTGTAGACGTATCTACCCCAGATGTATTTTTTTTATGTATATATATTTTTACACATACACATACATACAAATATATATACATATTCTTTTGGCGGCTGGCCAGTATGGAGATCCAAACCCTTAACCTTGGTATTATCAACACCGTGTTCTAACCAACTGAGCTAACCGGCCAGCCCCCAAAATGTTTTAATTTCGAATTAAACCTAAAACAAATTTAAGCCTAAAACTACATCCCTGGCTTTAAAGAAATTTTAAAAAGTTATATGTAGTATATGTGTAGTATATGTGTCTACACTTATCAAAGAATCACAATGAAAAGTGACTAATTCAATCATCTAAATGTTTTCTCTAGCTAAAAGCAGTATCTGGAAGTTACAAATATTAGAATGTTTGGTGTTATATAAACAAAACAACCAGATTAAATGTCTGGATGTACTAGCATCATACAGCTCTAACCTTTCAGTAATCACCACATTTGAATTCCTGATTGTGATTTTTCTTTTCTTTTCTTTCTTTTTCTTGTGACCGGCCGCACCGAGCTCAGCCAGTGAGCGCACTGGCCATCCCCATATAGGATCCGAACCTGCGGCGGGAGCGCTACAGCGTTCCCAGCGCCGCACTGTCCCAAGTGCGCCACGGGGCCGGCCCGTGATTGTGATTTTTCTAAATTCATGTTTATGATGGATAACTTCTCAAACAATATAATTTATTGCCACATAACATAATGATGAAAAAACATGTTACATGAGGAGTACTTTCATAATAGAACTTTTGAGGGGGAGGGGGTTCATATAATCAGTTTAGTTCTAAGGCCCATGGAATACTAATCAAATAAACACTACTTATAAAAATATATACAAAGATAAGTCTTTAGACTAAAAAAGTGCAACTCCCAAAGGTCAGCAATGCAGTCCCACACTCTCCAGGGAGCAAGCAGCTGCTGTGAGCAGCAAGGCTGCCGATCTTCATCAACGAACACGTGCAGACAGACTACAGGTTACACAGCACCACAGAATATTTTGAAATGCCTGGCAGATAATTCACAGTGCTCAAATAGAGGTACAATTAACATGCCAAAGACATAGAGCTCTGGGTTCTCAACCCAAGTTGCATATTAGAATCACCCAGAGAGCTTTAAACAAATACTGATGGCCAAGTCACACCCCGGACTAATCAAATCAGAATGGACTATTACCTCTATTAAAGAAATAATAGAATATAACATACAGTCAGGTTTTAACAGGGAAAATATAAGCCTTCATTGTATTTCCGAGCACAGTTATTTTTGCCTAAACTGGGATTCCACATGTAAAATGTAGCCAGAAAGAATATTAAGTGGGCATGTAATATTATCTAGAAAGTTTCTGTTCTGTCACAACCAATAAAAGTCCTATTTTTAATGACTCCAGATGTGATAAGTAAATTTGCTCCCATGTAGTTCAGATCCCTTGAGAGTCCAAAATTCAGGTTATTCTGGCTGGGAACCTATACTTTAAACATGGATAAAACATAAAATTTATGTTACTTGGAATTTAAAATGGCCCACTCCTATACAATCTTCTTATAAATAACCTTGTATGTTATGTTGGATACAGTAAAAAGATTTATACTGTGCTTAATTTTGCAAAGCCATTTCAATATTTTTAAACCACACGTGCATTCTTTTATATTCTGAGTGTGTCACTGTGCCCTTGAGATCCTTGCTACTGGCTGGTAACCTGAGGTTCGTCTGATATGTCAAGACCTGGTATTGTTAGATCAGATTTAAGTCCTGCATTATACTGAAGAACCCAATGCTACAGTGTTATGGACAGAATGCTTGTGTCCCTCCTGCCTCCAATTCATATGTTGAAACCCTAACCCCTGTGATGTTATGTGGAGACAGGGCTTTTGGGAGATAATTAGAGCTAGATTAGGTCATGAGGGTGGCCCCTCATGATGGGCCTAGTGGTCTTTTAAAATAGAACTCAATCTCTTTCTCTCTCCCCCTTGGTGTGCATGTACCAGGGAGCAGAGGCCATCTGAGAAGACAAAGAGAAGTGAACCATCTGCAAGCCAGCAAGAGAGCCCTCGCCAGGAATTGAACCCTGCTAACACCTTGATCTTGGAATTTCCAGCCTTCAGACTCTGAGAAAATAAATTTGTTTTTTAAGAAACCAAGTCTATGGTGTTTTGTTGTGGCAGTCCCAGCAGACAAATACTTGTGTATAGTATAGGGCAGAAATCATCAATTTCAAGTGCAGGATTTTTAATAATATTATAAACCAGCATTTTAAACCCCTGTCCTATTTTCACGAGCATAAAAATCTGCTCAAATCTCAAATATAATTTGAGAATTCTGTGAAACCATTTAAAAACAAATAAAATCAAAATACTATTGAATGTTCCCCTGGTGGTGCTCATATGTGTACCTAGGTTCTACTGTGTTGAGAATTGCTCAAAATCATTCGACCAAGCGTGGAGACAAATGAAGGTGTCTGTTCCTTATATCCTTGTGAGGACATAAATAATTAATGAAGCAAACTTAAAGATGTGTATGTGGATTTTTGCTTCCTTTTTCATGGATTTAATAATTAAAATTTTCCCTTTTAAGAACTGTGTCCTTGATTTCCAAAAAGACTGGTAATGATTTTATTCAACTTAATTTAATGTAGACACATAAATAAGTTTTGAGAGTGAGAAATTAAAATGTAAATAAAATTTTGATTAGGTTGTATGTCACCATGATACCAAAAAAAAAAAAAAAAAAAAAAAAAACAGCTGACTGATTTACATTTCACTTTTCCATGTTTTGTTTTAGCACTGTGTGGATTAACACAATCCTGAGCTCTATGTTCCCGAGTAAAGTATATTTAAAACCATGTAGTTTCATTAAGCTTAGAAAAATCTAGCAAACTAACAATTAACCTGAACTAAACCTGAAACTAAAGACCTTAAGAATGTACTCTTGATCTAGTTAAATGACCCCAAAATAACAAAACCTGTATTTATTTTTAACAATTATTGTTTATCTATTTTATGGACAATGATTCTTAAGGGGTATGGCAAATAATAAAGTCACTTGTGCTTTTCTCCCAATGTAAAGATCTGAAATACACTCCTGTTCACTTGGAGAATCACTGCCCTTTTGACCATTGGTGCTGCTTGAAATCATTCGCACTCCAAAGGGATAAAAACTGCTGTCTTAAGCTATGGCCCAGGAGTCCAGTCTCTTAAACCTTTCAGTTTCATTTCAGATAACTCTTAATGTAAATCCCAACAGTGTTAACATGCTAACAACACTGATAATAAGGACTGATGTTTGAAATCATGGCCTTGAAATATCTGTTAAAAGATCTTTGATTGCCAGAGTAAAAGTAACACTATGTGATAAGGGAGGAAAATAGTCATTTTAGAACACTTTTTACTAAAAGCTACAAGAGTTAATAATGAGCCTTTAATTAAACAAAAAGTACAAATAATCAGAATATTTTTATTCCTTTTCCATTAATCAAAGATATACTTAATTTTTAAACATTCTGGTGGTATCTCTAAAATTACGTGTTAACAGGTTTTCAATTATGCATATAAAATCTCTTTCCCCATAATCTCCCCAGCACATGGTTATAGCTCTTTTATGACAAACATAACATTCTCCCTCACAGTACTCTTATTTTTATTTTTGTCTTTGTCTCTGTAATATGTTCATTTACAGAAGGGACTAAGTCTTACTCATAATTGTATTTGCACTCATAATACAGTGCTTTGCACATAGTAGGAACTCAATAAATGTTTGATTTTCAAACTTGTTTGATTTTAGTCACTTTTGTCTCTGTAATATGTTCATTTACAGAAGGGACTAAGTCTTACTCATAATTGTATTTGCACTCATAATACAGTGTTTTGCACATAGTAGGAACTCAATAAATGTTTGATTTTCAAACTTGTTTGATTTTAGTCACTTGTTCAACCATCATCAATTTCATTATTTTTAAGAGGTAATCTTTGGCCTTGTATTATCTCTAGTTAAAATTGACTCAGAGAACAAATGAGATTTAATCTTTCTTAAAATAATTACGACTACAAAAACATTTGGTACATGAGTCAAGTGCCAAAAAAGGCCTAGTATACTCATCGTTCCATGAAAATGATGCTTCTACATAATTCATTCAAAAAAGCATTTCAAGAAACTTAAGTGAAAAACAACTTGCTATCTCATTCTGAATTATATCTCCCACAAAGGAGGCATTTAGCAATTGCTTTTTGTATTCAAATCTACTTAGCATTAAAATAAACTTGCTTAGAGTATATGGGAAATGTCAAGTCAAAAGAAATCTAACATTAATGGTATATTTGAATAGCAATTTAATGTACACTGTAATACAAAACCTCTTAATTAATAATGAGTGACTTTTCCACTGAGATTATGTTATAAAATTCAATAATAGGATGGGGTTTATCATAATAATAAATAAAAGATATTTCATGTTTTTATATTTAATATTTGAAATTATTTAAGTCTATCATCATGTCGATTATTATTGTAAAGTAAATTTTGTTAAACCTCACCACAGAATTGTAAGTTCAGTTACTATTACAGGCTGTCCTTTAGCATATTTCAAAAATGATTATTCAATAATTTATTGAACACTGATGTACTTAAGGCTAAGTCCTAATTTTGTACTTGAGTGTCAAAATGCTTCAGAATGGTGGAACAAAAATTGAAAATTTATGTTTAGCAAATGTAGAGATGATGATGTATTTGGAACAGAAAGCCAGATCAATGTAAGATTTCAAAATGATCAAATCTAGGAGAAAAGAACCATGCAAAATTAAACACTGCAATATAAGTAATGAATCATAATCATATATGCCATATAAAATGAAAACCATGACCATTCTACCTATAAGTAAAGAAACTACGCAAAATGGATTCTCTTGGCTAATTACATTCTGTAATTACATTACAGAACGTGAATATATGTAGTATTTAATCAATTCACTCAACATACATGTCAACGTATTATGAAAATTATTCAAAAACATTATAGCTTTTTCTAACCGTTCTTGGTAGTTTTCTAGCCCATGATATTTAAACTTTAACAGACAAACTTCATTCCATGGGGATGCAGAACGGTCTCATATGTTCTTACTAGTTTTACCAAAAAATTTCAACAGTGTTTTACTAGGCTTACTTAGGGGCAGATAATTCCGTCACTCCATTTAATTCGTGAAACTTTCCAAACATCCCATAAAAAACACAATGGAAATGTAATCATGTAAGTTAAAAATATTAAAAACTCTCAAAAGGTAATAAACGCAACTCAGATATTAAAAATAATCAGAACCTGCAACCAAACCCCCTGTTTCTCACCTTGGGATGTACACAAATCCTTAGGCCATCCGGTAAGGCGCCTGAGAGACCCCTACCCAAGCCACCCCAGTAAACACCTCACCCACCACCTACGAACGGTTAAGGAGCAGCGTCTTGCAGGCAAATCTTGCCACCGGTGCCCTGGCGGACTGAGATCGCTCTCCCGGTCTGTTCCCCGCCTCACTTGGAGGGAGGGGTGAGAGCTCGGAGGCGTCTGCCCAGGCGGTAACAGAGGATGGGTCAATGTGCTCCCCGCCCGAACCCCGCCGTGCGCCCTGCCCGCCTACCTTGACCGGGTGCAGGTAGCCGTCGCCGCGCAGGGCGCCCAGCCCGGGATCGGCCGGCACCTCTGCGTCGTCCTGCAGGCTGCGGGTGAGGTGCGCAATGTAGGTGGTGGCCAGGAGCAGCACGTCCAGCTTGGACAGCTTGGTGTCGGGAGGCACGGACGGCAGCGTGCGCTGCAGCTCAAGGAAGGCGTGCCGCAGGGTCTGCACGCGGCTGCGCTCCCGAGCCGCGTTCGCCGCCGCC